CGGCAAGCCAACGGGTTTAAACAACAACAATAACAACAACAAACAGAGAAGTCATCTAGCAGTGATGCTTCGCTAGATGACCAACTAGCGGGCAGTACCTAGAAATCAAATAAGGAACAAAAAAAAAAAAAAGAAAACTAGCACAAACACAGAAATACACAAGGAAAGACCAACTGATAATAAGTCTACTAAAATATTAACACAACCACAGACATAACAGAAAAATAGAAAAGCACCTACACAATGAAACAAAAAAGCAAAAGAGAAACAAATGAGCAATATTAAACTGAGACAAACTTCCAGCAGACAACCTGAGTCCATAAACTATGATCTGCAGGGCGGAGCCAGCCTCATCATTCACCGGGGTCAGCAATATTTTTTAGTGGGGTCATTAACCTAGTAAACAGTGTTTGAACAGTATTTTATACTAAAAATTTTGAAATCTATAGGGGTCAGCTGACCCCAGCTAGCAAGTGTAGCTTCGCCTCTGATGATCTGTAATTGAACTTTCTTCCGAATCGTTATTTTTGAATTGAAATTGAATCTTACAAAAATAAAATCCAAAAACAATCTCTATGTTGGGACTTTTAAGAATTTCAAAATTGATTTACAATAACAATAGCAGAAACAATTGATAAAAAAAAAATAATACCAAAATCAATAAAACCGTAGACATGCAAATAGCCTAATTTATCAATAAAATTTGCAATTTGTGAAATAAAACTCAAAATTCGAAATGCATTAGTATCAACCAAATACCTAATTTTAAAAAATCTTGAATTCAATAAAAAATCAAAATTTGAAAAAAAAAATCCCAAATTCCGAATTGAAGAAAAAATTTAAAATTGTTAGAAAAAAATACCCAAAATCTTACCTTGCTTACTGTAGAAGCCGATTTGTCGGATGTGGAACGGCGAGTAGGACGGTTTTCCAAGCCCGCCATGGAATTTTCCCAAAAGATTTGGCCGGCGATTTTCATGGAGAGAGAGGGAGAGAGACAATCGATGAACAGAATTTTCAGAGAGAGAGACGAACGGAGAGAGATGGAACCTTTTCAGAGAGATGCTTGGCGACGAAAATTTGAGAGAGAGAACGACGATCGTCGATGATTTTGAGAGAGACAAAAAGGGCGAGAGAGACGAAGAGAGAGAGAGAAGAGCTTCATTTCAATTTTTTATGAAAATAAATCAAAATAAAAGAATAATAATAAGAGTAGTATATATATGGGGAGTAATTTGAAAAGAGAAATTAGCTTTAGGAAGTGATAAGGAAGTTTAAAAGTGAAGGGGACTGACAAGGAAGTTGAAATGTGCATTGAGGATTTATATGGAATTACCCGTTAAACAATCAACAATTCATTTTATTTCTGACACATGATCGACTTGTTTCTCATTTTTGTTCATTAACTATTTTTTTTT